GGACCGGCGCCGCCGCCCGCCCCCCGCCCGCCCCGGCGCACAGACGGAGGCCGCTCACAGCATACAAAGGTTTAATCAAGTACAGTATTTACAGTCCTTACAGCATGTACAGGGTAATAATAACGCGTTTGTTTCATTTACAATGACAAACTACAGAAAACTACATTCGAGGTGTAGATACAGCAGCCTTGCAGCCTTGGTAAATGCGAAGGAGGGCTGGTTACACACCCTTTACAGCTGCAGCCTAAGGGGGGGGGAAGAGTTCATAGGAGAACACAAGCATTTTACTGCTGGAATGCTTAAAAACCACTAAATACAGAGGGAGACGTGGATAAAGAAAAAAAGTTCATTATTTCAGAGTAACCTCTCTGCTTGAGGAAACAATGATTTCACAGGAACTTCTCTTAAAACATGAAAAATCTGGGATGCTAACAGAAGAGCAAGTGGGACTTTTTTTTTTCTTCCTCTATCATCTCCTTCCATGGGAAGAGAAAAAAGAAAATACTGTACACAGAAACATAAAGCAAGTGTATGAAAGGGGATATACCAAAGCGGTACATTCATCCTTTTCCCCAGTATGAGTTGTCCCTCATTTAAAAGTGTACTTTTGTGCAAGCAAGACTGCAAGACATGCACAAATACATGGCATAAACTCTTAACTCAGGAAGAAGTGTCCAGCTGAGAATGCACAGAGAGAGTAGTTTGCAAAACGGACTCTCAGAATACTTTGTGTATTAAATAATCAGCTCGGTCCTTCTGACAGGGTAAAAATACTGCACCCTTAGTACTTACACATGACTTGTAATTCTGTCAAAGGGTCCTGTTATAGTCACTGTGTCATTTGAGATTCTCACGATCAAGATGCAGAACTGACATCCATACTGTGAACCAGATGGCTGCACAGAAACACCAAAGTCCTGGAGCCATCACAGCCAACCCTGTGCTTATTCTTCTTGTCACCTTTTTTCTTTAGTGCTACAAAGTTTTTGCTCAATCACGGAGAAGTCCAATAATTTGAACAACGCATGAGTACCGATGTCATACTGCAAAACAGGAGAAGCTGCCTCCCACATGGGGATTTGCTGGCAGCAGTTGGAAGGTCTGGTTGCATTTTCTAAAACTATTTCAGCTCAGTATATAAACAGGTAAAATATAAAACCCCCCAGAGTGCAAAATACAGTATTGATAGAAGATCCTTTAGCACACTAACATTAGAAGCCACCAAAGGTGCAATCCAAAGCTGCTGAAATCAGAGGAAAGACTGTCACAGACTTCAGTGACTTCTTGGATTAGGTCCTAATTGGAAAGGAGGTTGAAGTCTACAATGTACTAAGGAACAACTAAGACACATTCAGACTGCAAATACGTGCAGCTTGTGAAAGCAAAGAAGGACTTCAACCATCTACTGCCTTCACCAAAATTTACAGGAAGAAATCCCAGCGTGTATAATATGATTCAGTACAGGTCAAAAATTTAAGTTTATATGCACTGTACTGACATTAATATAAAACATGAAAAATTACAATCAATCAGAACAATACAGACCACTATGGAGATACCACAGCCCCCATTTTAATGAACATGTGATGTAAACTATACTTCTGAAATCAAGATGCATTCGAGTATCTGTTGAGCTCCGTGACATTTGTCTTTCCAGACTTTTGCAACACGTCATCTAACTGTGGCTAGGAAAAAAATACTGCAGAAACCTTTCAGTGGGCTCTCTGGTAAATGACTAAAAATCCATGTGAAAGGTGGTTTTAAACAGTGTTAGGAATCTACTGCTTTGTACCCCCGCTGATTAAGACCCATTGTATTTCACACCTACAGAGAAACATGAATAGGAATTGAAGCTTTTCATTATCTGGTACAGAGTACAAGATGTTAACCCACAACGCAGCCTTATGGTCTACTGTTCTAGTTATACTCAGATTCATACTGTAATAAAAGTGGAAATTTCCTAGTAGTACTGAGCAGAAGATGAGCACTGGGTGTCAGGACTCGAGATGGAAATCCAGACCTTCACATAATCATGCCTGGTGTTAGCGAGGGCTGAATCCTGCGAGGCACAGAAGCCCTGGAGCACCGAGCCTGCCAGTGCCTGGTAGGACTAAGCCCTCAATACATTTCATGCAACAACATGGCATGTTCATTTCTGCTGATGAGCAACACCCTAACGTATGTATTGCACCTGGCCTGAAAAAAAGCTTTAACTGCAGGTCATACTGGACCCTAGCATACCTAGAAGGACTGGGGAAGGAGGCTACAGGATCAGAAGCGAACCATTAGAACTCCAAAACTCCTGAAGAAGAGAAATACAGCCGGGTATGTTACTCGTCCTTTGGCATAAACAGCCTGATACTGCTCCCCAGATGAGAGCTGGGCACGGCCAACTGGATCTGCAGAGCTACAGGGAAGCAACTTTTTTGTCTACAGAAAGTTGTCCTGCAAAATTTGTCACGGAGATTTTCGTGGCTAGGAAGATAAGTGGCAGTGGAGAGTTGAAATGAGAGTCTCGGACATTCTTCCAGCAGCATGGACTTGTGATAGCAATTACGCCCCTACACTTCAGGTAGCTTTACTTCATGGCCAATCACACCACAAACTGCCCGTCACGTAGGCTGCAAAAGACAAATCTTTAGAAAAACTACATCTGAAGTGTATATTATACAGAGCCGTATCTTACATTGTCCCATCTGTACACTGGGAATTTTACTTTCTCTAAGATCTACTAAAACATCTACTGCTGTTAAATACTGAAGATTAGGAGGTATATTATCATTTCATAAACAGCTATTTAAAAAACAACTTACTGGAAATTACTGCTTACAGGTGATATTCTTAGGTCTCTTATTATTCAAACTAAATGTGCTCTTTAAATGGGCAGAATCTGCTTTTCCTAGCATAGTTTGACCACACAAAGCAAGAACTATTTTGTAAGATTCTTCTGCTTGGAAAAAGGATCTACTGGACATTTCTAAAACGCTATTAGCTTTGTAGTAATAATCATCCGGACTTGATACAAAAGGATTAACTATTTGAAATATCTTGTCAAAATTTAACATGCCAGAAAATCTGATTTTACCATCGTTTACAGAAGTTTTCTCTCCAGTTTTGCTTATCTTAGCCAGCTTGGAGAAAAGCCAATGCATTTCCTAAATACATTTAAACAGCAGGTAATCATAATGCCATGCTATTAGGATTGTTAAAACTCACATTGGTACTATGTTACCTAAAAATTCTCCTTAAGTTGTTCATAGGGCAGACAAATAAAGCATAAAGAGTTTTGTCTGCTGGTTTGGGGCTTCAACCGATTACTATCTAGGTATTAAATAACCTGACACATAAGCATGTATCTACAGAGGCCATTTATCCACGCACATCAGCAGAGGAGAGCTCACTACTGAATAAAGCAAACTGTGCTCAGAAAACAGCTGGAGACTACGCTCGCGTTACTTTGCAAAGACGTGCAGCGAAATCCCTAGGTTTCCTTGCAGACACCTTAGTTTAGGCAACACGTGTAAACACATCTTTGCAGATTATACAAAGGATACTGATTCCTGGTATAAAGGATTCATTGCCCTAAATTTTGGGTCGCTGCATTACATATGATATTTTAATATATTCTTGCTTAGGGCTAGAAATGCAACAGCAACAGCAAAACAAAAGATAACAAACAGCCTGTTCTACACAAACTCCATTAGCTCAATATTTACTTTCATGTCTCAAATTTCAAGTTTTGATGTCAAAATACTACAAACCCCACATCATATCCAGAAGGATTAAGTTTATTTTTTCCATGAAAGGTTCCACATGCTCATTTAGAAGTGTAATTGCTGCACAGAAAGTTTAATTTAAGAGGAAAAAAAAAGGGAAAATAGACTACTCGTAGAAGTTTGGTCCTCCAGGGTATATTCCTATTGTGACTGACCCGCAGTCACGAGGGTAAAGGCCAGCCTGGTGTAAAAGCTTCCGCTGTGAAACAGCTTGCAGAAGAGCAGGAGTTACCATGTCTTGTTATTAACTGTCTACCTCTAACCAGTCAGAGTAGGAACAGGAGAATCTGTTGAGTTACAGGCCCACATACATGACAGCTCAGCAAGTCATTACCTGATTTCCCTTTCAAACAGTCCCAGAAAATGCAACCCAGACCTTCTTGTCAGAGGCACATTCTTTATGGCAATAGGGAGACAGATGACAGTAGGGAACACTAAATAGCAAAGCTGGTCTGATCATCCTGCCGTGCAGTCTGCGCTGCACCCTGCTGTGCTCTGCTAACTTCACATCCGAACCACAAAGGAACTCCATACTTGCTAACAGGTACATTTTTATACTGAGCTAGCAGGTATTCCTTTTTTTTTTAAAAAAAAACCACAACAAAACAACACTTTCTTCAGCTGCTGAGGTATATGTACTGTAGAACATGAAACAACTCATACATTTCCCCAGCTACCACAATCTAAAGCTACATTAGAGTGGTCATTTTCTCCAATCTATCTAACAAAACGCATACAGTTCATTCCATTAAAGTTAAAAAAAGACTTGCACTACAACGATCAGGTTCTGTTCCTTCTTGACACTTAAGACTTCTGGGAATCTGACTGCTGGAAACGGTTTAGCTTCTCTGGGTTATTCGATGCCATTTGAGAAAAGTCACGAAAAATGTCCTGATAAATTTCGTCTCCTGGGTAGAAAAGAAAAGGGAAACAGTTTTAAATATTTGTGATAGTTATCATCACCCACCACTGCACAAATGTCTTACTGTGTTACCAGTTACTGTAAAACACTTCTCCATGTATAAAGGTTGCTTACAGATGGAATGATGTTGATGTGAACTCTTTGGGACTGTTTACTCGCATGCATGTTCTGTAGAAGCAAATTAAACAAAGCCAAACTATACCTGAAATAGTACCTCACAGGCAGCCACGTAGAGGAAAGTTCAGAGTTAGAAAGGAAAAATGAAAGCATTTTAAAGCAACGGAAAAAGAAAAAAGTTTATTAGCAATTAAAAGAATAAAATCCTTGTTTTTGCAAGGAAGTGCTAACCGAGATTCTCTTCAGAAAAGCAGAATTAGGACTTCAATAAAGATTTACTTGGGAACACAAGTCAGAAGTCTTACAGCCAGAGAGAACTCTCCAGGAAACAAACAATCAGCAAGCAATAGCATATAAAAAAAGCAATCCTAAGCAGAGAAATTATTGTTCATAAATCCTTTTGGTCTATTACTTCGTAAACAGAAAGTCTGCATTACTGAACATTCATGACACCTTTTAGCTTTACCTAGAAAAGTGACGATACTTTCCTTAAACATGTTCCATTTGGGGTTTTTATCATCTTCACCCTTTGTGCCTGAACACAACCCAACTACCAGTACCCATTCGAAATCGAGGGACAGCAGCAGGTCCCCAGGCCTGTGTCCCTCCTCTCCTGCCTGCTCAGGAACACGCAGTCAGGAGCGATTACTTCTCGAGTCCTCCTCCTGCCACTTTCAAATGGGCATTGTCACATCCTTTCATCTGCTGCAGCATTTTGGGCCTTGAGTTCAGGTTTCGTTTTGAAACGTTAACCATACCACAACCATTGCCTTCAAAGGGAACTAAACGTGTAAAACATTTGGTCTGGTCAGGAACTACGCAGCCATCCAAGTTTTACTGGCTTCCCAACACAGGACACAGGATCCCAGCACTACTGTCCCTTGCTGATAGCTTGATTAATAGCATGACAAAGAAATCAACCCAAAGTCTCTCTCATCATGTCTGTTAAACGTGAAGGTTTTATTTCTCAGTATGATTGCAGAAGAAAAGTATTATTCTACCACTTTTTTTCCTAAAGCGCAGTTTTAAAAAGCTTTTTGGTTTTTTTGTGTTTAAAAGTTGGCACCACACTGCAAAGTGACGCTGTTTTGGTTTCCCACCTCGTAATGCGCATTTCCAATTACAGAACTATTGTTCTTTTGGAGATGAGACTGCATTCATTTGAAAACACATTCAGAGATAAAACTGACCTTCCAGAAATATTCGACACGCACAGCATGTGGGTTTATATAAAAAATGCAATGAAGCAATTCTTCCCAAACTTTTAAAGGTAAATACATTCAATACTGCTCTGCTAGGAGAAGCCGATTTTGGTGAAATTCCCTTTTGGTTTTCAGATTTAGTTTCAAGTATGTTCTAGAGATGAAGCAGGCACAGGACTCATTTTCCTGTAACAGTTCCCGGTGAGTGCTCACGCTGGGAGATGAGCACAGTGTGAAGGGTGCTGCATCCTTCACCAACTGAACGGCCATGGAGAGCACAAATCTGAACCAGGCTTGTACAATAAAGCAATTACGCTTTTAATGCAGAAGTGGGTTCCACGGGTGAACCAGCACCGTAGTGCAGGTTGCCATGTTTGGTTCTTTCAAATTAACTTGAAAGAAAAAGCAAAAGCTGTTTTCCTAAGATGCATCGTGGCTATGTTTTTGGCTCTGTTACGTAACAAAAAAATATTATCTACAAAAATAGACTAAAATAAAGTGCCGCTTTAGTTTGTACGCTGCATTTAAATATTTAACGCTGTAAACAGTAGAATAATTTTTAAATCCTACTTCTAAATGGACTCCTGGAAATTCCCTTTCCCAGCAATGTTTTCTCTAAAGTGCAGAATTTATGTACAAAAATACTGTAACGCTGCTTTACCAGTTAACACCAGAGTAACTCAAAAGGCACACGTCATACATTCAAGGAAAGACAGAAAGAAAAGGCAGCACTACTAATATCAAATAGTTAGCAGACACACTGTAGCACCAGAAGATGAGCACTCAAGTATCATACAAAAAACAGTACAATGGTGCATATGGCTTCTACCACAGAAATGAACTAGCTCGTTCCACAAAGAGATTCAGCTAATTCCCACTCCAGGAATATTTTGGAAGACCAGCTGTACCTTGCAAAGCAATATATACATCCTCTCAGTAGCTCAAACCACCCAGGCATATTTAAATTAGAAATGTTGACGCCATTAGCTACATTAATTGTTTGTCAACCACATTAAAGCTGAGAAATATGCAGCTGGCTTCGCTCATGACAGCAGACTCATACATCAATATTAACCCTCACACATCAATATTCAAACATACAACAGTCTTGAAACCCTCACACATCTCCCAGCAAACATACAACAGTCTTGAAAATCCTCATTTTCTTCTAGAACTGTCATTTTGGAAAAGGGGAAGGATAAAATAAGGGCAGTGGAGATAATTTAGCCTGTATACGGAATGAGAAAGACCTGTCTCCAGTATGACTACGTAGAAGGTATCCTGCAATAGCAGAGGCAGGTTTTGTGCTTACACTTATGCATTTACACAGTCCTTCTAGAAGGCTAGCAGACATTGACATTTAAAACACTCAAATATTTACTTCAATTTTTAAAAAAGACTTCAGCAAGTAAAGAATCATTTGACATTTCAAACACTCAAATATTTACTTCAACTTTTAAAAAAGACTTCAGCAAGTAAAGAATCAAGGAGAGCAGAGCTGCGCTATCCAAAGATACAGCGAGGTCTCCTGGCTGGGACATTGTGCTACAGCTTGTGGCCTCAATTTCAAGAATTACTCTAATGATACTTTCCCCGTGATTTTGGGCAAGCTCTATCCCTTGTAACAGCTCTACTCGCCATTGTCAATCTCTCCTGTTGACAAGGATCAGATTCCATCTGTAAATTATCTGGATCAGGTTGTATCAACTGCTGTCTCTGCCATTGTCAATCTCTCCCATTGACAAGGATCAGATTCTATCTGTAAAATATCTGGATCAGGTTGTATCAACTGCTGTCTCTAGACTTCACTCTGATACAAACTGACAGAAAGGTCAAGGCATTTTCAGTGAAAGACGGCCAGTTTTCTACTTCATCTACCTAATGGAGAAAATATTTTAAACAAGATGGCAGGGAAAACAGTCTCCCTCATCTCCAGTTGAAACACATTCATGTTTTCAGGTAAGCAGTGTCTGTATTTGTTATGGATGAAACTTTTTCCTAACCATTTGTCACGTTCAATAGCCAACTGAGGCTTTTTGTACCAACTACAGAAACACGTTTTCTAGTTTATAATAATACTGGCTTTGTGACAGGTCCATTAAAAGACCTAAAGTATAATTTTATGATTTAGCACAAAACTTTTCAATCAAAACACCTACCTCTCTCAAAACAAAGGCATTTTACTATTTGAAACCAATCGTTATTGTTTTCGCCTCTTAAAATAAAAAGGAGGAGACTCAAAAATCCTTCAGTATTTGTAACCTTCAGCCTGAAGCAGTATGCACTACAGCAGAAAGCAGCTTTACATTCCAAATGGCCAAACTGGCAATAGGCTTTTTTCATATACGCAGCCTGCTGCATTTTCTGAGTAGGGAATTCTTCCCCATTTAAGTTCATTATCAATTCTATACTTCTGAATTATCTGCTGCTCTGCCAGAAAGCATTTGAATGTCTGAGTGTCTACAGTGCTTGCATTGTTTTAATTTCATAGAATATTTGTTTAAAAACAAATTTGAAAAACATCTGTTCTTAAGGAGAAACTTTACGAAATCAATAAATGGGGTTTATTTAATAGAGTTCATCTGGGATAGTGACATGAGACTTGATGTCACCCTTGAGTACATTCCAGCTGAAGTCTGGTCGAGACACAAGCACGCACACTCCTTACGAATCAGTGGAAAATACACAGGAGCTTTATAGGAGTGAGCTAAGAGCACTCAGCATTCAACCTTATAAATAAGATTTGTCTTTCAGTACTGCCAGTGTAGCAGCATGTTTTAGCTGTCTAACTTGACAGTCAAGTGTGCCTTCATTATTGATATCTGCTTGAGATTAAGTTAGGTTCTTCTGGAAGCATGCCACCGGAGAAGAAATGGCTTGCATAAGTACCACAGCAGAACAGTGTAACTGCGACAGAGTGCCTGAGGATGAAAGTTGCACATAGTCATTGAGTATCATTTGTTACTTTCTTGTACCAGTTGGCTCAAATGTCTGCCAATTGTTTGGTTGTTTTTTTTTTGGTTTTGAATCAAGTGGTAAGATACTATGCATACAAAAATACATACTTAAGAATTACTTATTTATATCTTAACAAATAAAAATATTTAAAAATAAAATTTGAGGAAATAACTCTTTCCTATTACTGTGTGGAATTATTTTGAAATATTCAATGTACATTTTTACATTGGTAGGCAAGCATTTTTTCTTAAAAGAAAAAAAGACCATTCCACAGGCAGGAGCATGGTATCCTGTAATAAGATGAAATCCTCAACTGTCTCTAAGCAACCCAGGTCAGAAGGCAGCTATTAAGTAACATCAGGTAAATCCTAACATTACTTGAATTTCAACAGAACACCAACAGGAAAAAACTGTGGACAGCTACCAGCAAAACAGGTTGGTAATGGCTGTACTAACATACACTACTATAATAATGGACTTTGAGCACTCTCCTTTTAGCTCCCCCAAACACTCTGACAAAGTCACACCAGTGAATTTCAATGAAGCTTTAACATGTCGCTTGTTTATAAAAAACACTACTGTATGAAGCTATCTTAGATTTCCCTCAGATCCTAAGAATCTAATTGTAAACTGATAAATTCCTGAATACATTTCTTATACTGCATTTCAGTATGGTTATTAGTAGAGTATTGACCTGGCTGTCCATACAGTCCTTCTGATTCGCGCATTTCTTCGTTCATCCTTGCTAAGCGTAACCTATGATTGAGGAAACACAAACAACAACAACATCATCTTCAAAGCACTGAAAAAGACTGCAGTCAGACCTACCATGGCCCCCTGGAGCCTCACACCAGTGAGGTTACTATGGATAGCGAACTCTGCTTTTTCTTTTGCTCTCCCTGGTTTTACCCAATGAAATTTTCACATTTCTTGTGTTTTTAACTTGAAACAGAATAGGAAAACCTAATTACCTAATTAAAACCAGAACGTACAACTTACAATGTTACAATATCTGCATTTGCAGCTTCTACTGCTATACTCAACGGATCTTTCCCATCTTCATCAGTGGCATGCTGGTTTGCTCCTCGTTTTAGGAATAAACACACTTGCCTGTTGAGAAAAGCATTTAAGAATATTTTTTCACAACAGTAAAGGGAAAAAGCAAATTAATTCAAGCTAGATGCAACAGATTTGGCTTAAATCGACAAAAGTCCCTTCAACATATCAGAACAGTGCAATCCATCTAGAACAACTAAGATGTTGGCACAGCAGTAAGCAAAACCTTTAATCCACATTAGGAAGATAGTCCAACTCAAATCACACTAGTGCAGCAAGGAGTTGGACCCTCTAGAACTGAGCCTCTACCTTCCTGTATCATCTTGGGCTGTAGAACCAAGAAACCTCATCCCTTCTACCGTGAACCACTGAGCAGGATAAATCAGTACAGTGAAGACTACAGAATACAGACATTTTCTCTGCTACTACAATTCTTCTTTATGAACAGGGCATACTTAAACTCCCCCAAGTTGTCAACTTGCACTCTACTTAGAATTCATGCATGTAAACATTTTGGACACCACCAACCAAATCATTATGTCCTCCTTTGAGTTGAGCTGGTCTGGGGTTTCAGTTAAAAGCCATGATTCCCCTCTACTCTGCCCTGGTGAGACCGCATCTGGAATATGGTGTCCAGTTCTGGGCCCCTCAGTTCAAGAAGGACAGGGAACTGCTGGAGAGAGTCCAGCGTAGGGCTACAAAGATGATGGAGGGAGTGGAGCATCTCCCTTATGAGGAGCGGTTGAGGGAGCTGGGTCTCTTTAGTTTGCAGAAGAGGAGACTGAGGGGAGACCTCATTCATGTTTATAAATATGTAAAGGGTGAGTGTCACGAGGATGGAGCCAGGCTCTTCTTGGTGACAAACAATGATAAGACAAGGGGTAACGGACACAAGCTGGAACACAGGAGGTTCCACTGAAATTGGAGAAGAAACTTCTTCTCAGTGAGGGTGACAGAGCACTGGACCAGGCTGCCCAGAGAGGTTGTGGAGTCTCCTTCTCTGCAGACATTCAAAACCCGCCTGGACGCCTTCCTGTGTAACCTCATCTGGGTGTTCCTGCTCCAGCAGGGGGATTGGACTGGATGAGCTTTGGAGGTCCCTTCCAATCCCTAACGGTCTGGGATTCTGCGATTCCAAAACTCAAGATGTAATGCAGTACATTTTGAAATGAGATCTACTCTTAGCGCAACACACCAGTGGGATGAGTCAGAAAAGCCCTTGGTCCTCACACACCACTATTTCTCCTATTTGTATTGTATTTCTTAAGGAAACAAGAAAAACCTTATGAGTCTTCACCAAAAGTTCATGCTATTTCAAATCATGTCTTTACAAAATGGACCAAAGTGTCTTTATAGGTATGTGTTTTGCTAGCAGGTGGGGCTAATTCAAAACTATATTTCCTCTCTCACCACAAAAGTTTAAGAAAAACCTAGATCACCTGAAATGTAATAAAATGCCAGAGTATCTGGGAAAATGAAAAAGCTTCACATTGACTATGGTAAAAGGTGCCCTAATGGCCACAAGTTCTGGAGCAGCAAGTTACCCAGTGTGTCCTAGAACCGTGGCATGGTGCAGGGGTCCTCTTCCTTTCATGTCCCTGATGTTCACATTGGCACCATTCTGCAGCAAGAATTCACAAGTAACCAATGAACCCTACAGAATAAAAGCAGAGAAACAATTCAGCACTAGATCTCTAGAGTGAGAGCCAAACCTGTTCTACCTTCTCACCACTGAGTCATGTGGCAATGGAAACAAAAGGGATTTGTTTCCGTATCAAATTTATATGCTACTACGTTATAGAATTCTAAACAAATCATTAACAGGAAAAAAATAGTTCAGAAACAACTGAGAACACATTGTAAAGACAACTTCAGCATCACATTATCATTCATTAGCAAAGCAAGCAGTTCAAAAGGAACAGTGACACAGAAATATTCCTATTATTCCCCTTCCCCTCCTCCCACACCAGTCACTGCTGTACATCGCATACCCCTCGCACTGCCTGAATGAGTGGTGTTGCTTTGTTTTCCTCTATGTTGACCCAGTTTACTTCAGCTCCATGGGCCAATGCTTCTGCCATGTCAGGAAGATTCTTCTCAAAAGCAGCTCGATACAGCTGCAGCCCTGGACTAGGCTGTTTGGAGTCACCGAACACAGAAGACTCTTGCTTGTCTCCTTCTGAAATGAAAAAAGAAATTGCTTATATGTAACCTCTGGTTTTATAATGTATCTCCTGGAATTCTGACCAAAAATGTCATTTCGCTGGCACAAGGTAGCTCAGGTTTTGCAGAATGCTGTGTGTTGTTGCCCCATTCTGCCAGGAGAAGTCACAGATGCTTTTAGCTTGTTCAGCATTCAGGCACGGCCACCTCACTGTTTTCTGGGCAGTAATAATTCTTTCTCTCTACATTACTGGCACATGAGTATCCTTCACTCTACATATTCCATTCTAATAAATGATTTTAGGTTAGAAGTATGTGTTATCCTATCCTGGAAGATACAAATAAAACTCATTTCCTGCAGAGATGTAGTCACACAAAGGTATCTTTATCTGCAACACCTGAATATAAGGCTAATACTGTTCTGACCTAATTTTCATTAGAAGATACCATTTTAATTTACCAGTTACTTGTTTTGGCTGTAATCTCTTGGACTAAAGCACAATCTGTTCTTTTCATCTCAATAAGCGTTATACGGAGTGAAGTCTGGGAGCTAAAGGCATTTTTGTGCATAAGCTTTCATGAGTTACAGCATCGTAAGAGTTTTGACAATGCAGTTAAAGAAAGGATCCAAGCCACATGGTGCTTGCCTACAAACCACAGCTGAGAACTACTGGATTTAAACATACCTCAGAGAAGTGTGTAGCTGTAGAAGAACAAGTTTGCTTTATACAGAAGTGTTTTGGGTATTTTGACAAGCCATACTCAACACATCTGTCAGACCAGGCTGTTAATATTAGATAGGAAATAGATAGCATCAATCAGTTATGAAACTGAGTAAAGAGGGGGCAACGTTTAAAGACATGGCCAATTCCACATAAGGAGAAAACAGAAAAATTAAGCAAGAATGCTCAAATAACACATAAAAGTCTATTATCTGTGACTTAACAGGAATTCCAGCTCCACGGATTTACCTATTTATAAAATGATTATGCATTTCTGAGAAGACTTGTCTGTATCAAAATGCACCATTGCTCTATCTGCCAAAAAACCCAAAGTTCTGGCTCAGTATCATCCGACTAGAAAAAACAAACAGTTCTGAACTCCTTTAGAAGGATTTAGTGTCATTTTTGCTAACAGGCCTGAAGGAGACAGAGGTCACTCAAGCAATTATTACCCTGGTTAAAAAATGTTTCAGCCCATCAGGATAGAGGAGACATGAGTTGTATCACCAAGTACTAATCTCTTTTACAAAAGCATGCTACCAAGAAGTGATTAAATTTTCATCTTGAAGTGCAAAGCCCAACGCACCTGGTTCATACAAACTGTTAACAGACACAGTAGAGGCAAGGTGTTCCCTGCTGTCATCAGAGCTCTGCTGGATCCCACTGTCACTGCTTCGTACTGTTTGGGGGAGAAACTGTCATTACTATGCAGACTGTAAGTCACCTACTCTTCACAGACACCATGATAATAAAGCAAGCTCTTATACTTGGTCCTGAATACATTTTTGTTTAATGACTAGTAGTTATTCAATATTCTTAATGTATCCATAGGAAAAAAATATGAAGTCACGTAATGCAACCACAACATTTATAATAAACACCAAAGATTATTAGAAAGGAAAAGATCAGGATAAGTAAAAAAGCTTAAATTATTTCATGAAAACATTAAGCAATGCAGTAGCCTGGAGACAATGGATTAAAGGCAGGGAGATGGCCACAACACACAATGGATCACTAGTGCAAATACTGAACACGCCGTAGCTGTAGTACTTACTACTACGTAGTTTTGAAGAGGTATCAAAGTAGGAGAAGAGTGAATCTAGTTCATCAGGACAGAACAGAGACTCCCGCCTCGCCTCGTCGCTACTTACAGCAACCGCTGGGACATGCAAGTTAGCAAAGCACAAAGCAGGCAGTAAGGAAGGGATAGGGCAGGAAAAAACGTTATTGGAGAAATTAAGAAGGATGAAAATACGGAGGAAAGAAGGTGGTTAATATGTTTCTGAATGATAAGCATCCCCACTCCAAATTCTTCCCCACCTAAAAATGCACATCTCTGAACAAGCCTTTTCTCCTCTTACTTCTGAGCTAAGCTATGACCCATTAAAAGACACATTCCGATTTCTCTGCGTGAGGCAGGAAATCGATTAATACAAAAATACGCTACTTTAAAAAGAATACGTGTAAAATAGCTGGGGTCTGTAAATACCTTTTTGGGATGCTGCACCTTGCTCCCCTGCCAAAAGAGATTTTTCAGGGCCACTGTGCCTTTTGTCTTCCTGGCTTTGAGGCAAGACTTTTGTTCCAGATTCAAGCACAGAAACTGATGCCGGCTGCTTCTCTACAAACTTTCTTTCCACGTATTTTGCTCTGATGTATGCCTCCTTCTCCTGCCTGTCATATACAAAACACCTGGAGTTAGTAAGCTGCTATTTTAATATTTTCATGTATTAAAAGAACATTCATTTCATACTAAAGCCAGTAACCAAAATTACAGTTTGACAACACATTTTCAGAACGATGAAGAGCACACTGTCTGGATTCTTGATTAAATTTTGCATAAGCCTCAAAAGAAAGTAATTTTGTTAAGTCCGTATCTGTGTATTTGCTTTCAGGCAGAGACTTTAGAAAGTGGGACGCAGAAGAAATAAGCATTAGCTACTTTATGTTACTTAGAGCAGCACAGACTGGTTCAGTTGGAAGGGACCTACAACCATCATCCAGTCCAACTACCACTTCTTGGTATTAATCCTTTATATGCTTCACATTGTTCATAACCAATCAATATAGCATATATTTAGCTTCTTAGGTAAATATAAATGGCCACATTTGTCAAAGGAACATCAAGACTGCACAAGAGAACCACAACAATAGTAAGCCTCAGGAAGACCCAGCTCCATAATGCATACTGAAATACTACTTGTAACCTGAGGTTATTGTCTTAAGACCCACACACCAGCTGTGACAAACTGATGAAAGGGGCTATAAAAGTATTACCATTGAAACTGCTGGAAAGCAGTTACCATCAGAAGAAATATCTAGCAAATCACAGAATATGAGGAGTTGGAAGGGATCTCGAAAGATCATCCAGTCCAACCCCTGCCAGAGCATTATTTGTATTATTATCATTGTCTCCAAATTGCCAACACTCTATAAAGCATTGTTTTCTATACCATGAAACTGCCTGACAGCAAGCAGCACAGAACTGCAAAAGCTGGTAAAACAAAAGTAGTATGAAAAGACTTCTTTATTAAGAGACATCTTATACAGCAGAACAAAACACGAGGAAACTACCTTCAAGTGCAAATTAGCATCAGAGAAACGGAAGACAGCAGGACAATCATGAGAAGGTTGCTGTAAAGCAGCAGAGCTCAGGTACAACATAGGCAGAAAGAAAAGAGCATTCTGGGAATCCGGGAACAACAGCCAAAATCGAGAGCAAAGTCACTGTACACAAAAGGCACAGCCACAGGCTCCTTCCAGGAGCACTCACAGACCAAGGTCAGCTGGCTGAGACCTTCCAAGTAGGCAGGAAACAAAATCCTCAAGCCCGTGTTGATGGGACAGAACAGGACATTATAGAGTTGCCATCAAAAGGAGGGAGTGAAGGTCAGAAAAAGAACAAATGAACAAGAGAAACTGAAAGGAACCAATAGAAGGAATACTTGAGTGTGAGAAAAGGGGGAAAGCAAATCATACTGGGGACAAGGAGAAAGAGTAAATCCAAGGAGTTTTACACAGTTAACTGACAGCATATTTTAAAGCTGGAGGCTGAAGGAAGCAACAAGAAAAGGGAGTGAGAGGCACTGCTAGTGAATTACTACCTTTGGCTTCCAGGCTGTGGCTTCTTTACTCCCACTTTTTCCAACTTCGCTTCATATATTCTATTTATAACATCATTTCCCAATTCACACATAAGCTATGAAGCAAAATAAAGAAATTGAAATACAATTGCAAAAAGCTTTGTCTACCTATTTAATTGTTTTTAACCTCGTACCCTATCTTTACGACTCAGTAGTGCAGTTTCTGGAGTTTCCTCAGCGTGAACACATCAATATTAAAATTAGTGAAGGTCAAACCACAAGAGGAATACCCCTACTCACATTGTCTTTGAGTGTTCAGAATAGAGAAGCAATTCTTCTCTATTCTAAGGTACCAGAACACCACAGCTACAAACAAACGCATGCATCAGTTACTCAGTTGCACACATGCATCCATGCGACAGTTCCTATTTCAGTTTTTCAATGTCACATGTTTCTCATAACCACGTTTCAAGCTAGAATTCTGGCACACAGCTAGCACACAAAAGCAGCTGCATGACTGCTCTCCTGTGAGCCAGCAGGAGCACGAAATCAACATCTCACTGTCAGAGCTGGCATTTGAGTTTTCAAGGATGATCGTGGTTTAGGCTGACGGAGCGCTTCCAAAATTTTTCAGCCCACTGTGTCATTGGTCTGTAAACAGACTTCCCTTTTGATACCTTGAAAGTGTCAGATGAAACTTGCGACTCAAAGTGCATTTGCGAAACTGAAGGTGTCATAAGTTGTTCCAACTGGCAAGTTTGTAACAAGAACGACTACTGCTACTGCAGGTACTATAAGAAAGTGTGAGTTATAAAAAGCCAACAGGCACACTGTAAATGTTTTTACTCAAAAGTGAAGACATACATTGTGTACAAATGCAAGTGTTTCCTACGTTGAACTTTCTGGTGCAGAGGCTTTAGGACAAACGAAGTTACAAATAGAAACTTGTTTCAAAGTACTGTCATACCTTTAGAAGTTCGGGTTCCCATGAATCCAGCGTTAAAGATCTTACTTTTGAAAAGTGGACTCCCAAGCTCCTAAACAGCATGAAAAAAAAATATTAACCTGTAACTATATGCTATGTGTTACCTCAGGCAGCTTTACCATGAATTTATGCAAATAAAGCAGTTTCCTTAACTCTGTTTACAAACAGGGCTCTCTAATCTTGCTTCAATATGTATCTGAAGAAGCAGACGCCACCCTTCCTAATTAACTCAATGCACAAATCAAATACAGCTCCCCAACCTGTGTATCCCGGAGCACTCGATGCACAGCGTGATTCCTAGGTTGATACTGGCCCAGCGAGGATCTGCCAAACCACAGTCACAGCAGGCAGCATTGCCAGGAATGCACTGAACTCGCTGTAGAGCACTTTCTCCCTTTAACAACTTCTCTTTTGTCTCGCTGCCAGATTCTAGGCTTCCAGTAGAAGGGGATGATTTCTTTTCCTGTTTCTAAAAAAGAAAATAAATAAAAAGAGACACACACTTAATTAAAGAAATAAAAGTCCTACAGATAGTGACTGTGCACTAGAATCCTAGCAAAGTAACTTCTGCAATTAAGGCTAAGGAAAACCATAGAACTGAAAAAATACCTGGCTTTTTAGAAGAAATACAGAACTGAATATAGGAGTATCCTATGGATTTTAATCACCCTACAGAAAAGTCTCATCAAAACATACAGGCGAAAATAAGTAAGATGGAGTGAAACAGAGGTTAGAGGAAGGACAGGAACTGCTTGAAAGAGTCCAGCAGGGCCACAAAGATGCTGGAGGGAGTGGAGCATCTCCCTTATGAGGGGTGGCTGAGGGAGCTGGGGCTCTTGAGCTTGGAGCAGAGGAGACTGAGGGGCGCCCTCATTCCTGGGGATCAATTTGGAATGGGCAGTGTCAGGAGGAAGGAGCCAGGCTCTGCTCTGGGATGGCCAATGACAGGACAAGGGGCAATGGTCCCAAGCTGGAGCACAGGAGGTTCAAGCTGAACATGAGGAAAAATGTTTTCAGTGTGAGGATGGCAGAGCATGGCCCAGGCTGCCCAGAGAGGTTGTGGAGTCTCCTTCTCTGCAGACACCCAAAGCCCTGGCCGTGTTCCTGTGTGACTGCTCTGGTGATCCTGCTCTGGCAGGGGTTGCACTGGGGGAGCTTTCCAGGTCCCTTCCAACTCCTGAGATTCTGTGATTGTGTGACAGCCTTCAAAATTTCATTGCATTTCCACTGGAAGACAAACAATGGATTCTTTTTCCCTTTCCTCTCATGAAAGAGTTTTTCTCTATTGTTTAATTTTCAGGATCTAAAGGAAGGTTGTTGAAGGTTTTTAAACTCACCTCAGATTCATCCCCTTTCTCTCTATATGCTGTAGCAATGCTGGTCTGAACAGCCTTAATCCATGCCTGCCGCAGCTTTTCCGAGTCAGCCTGAAGCATGCAGCTTCTATAAGAAATCACACGTGTACTCAGAGTCAGGGACTGACCAAGCAGCTAACATCAAACAGCACATTGCTCAATAGAATACAGACTCCTGAGAAGGTTTCTTGCTATCACCACAGCTATATCGTTTAATAGGTATCACCTAGTAAGCCCATTTATTTTGAGATAAAAGCAGCTGATGCTTTAGGAATTTATGAAACTCCTTGTTTCAAAACTATTTGCAGGTAATGCTAAAACATATGGATATGACTCAAATAACCTTCAGAATGGCTTAGCTTCCTGTCCTCTTCCTTTTCCTACTCCAAATTTTTCATTTTTACATCCTTACATGCAACTAATGACTAATTACACAAGATATAGGTATTAGTCCTTGTAAACATAATTTCACTCACTGAGATCAAGAGAAAATTGTTTTAATGCTGACAACAAACTACTTTTCACACCAGCAGTCAAAGGAAGCAGGTCATGAAGTATTAAACTGTTCAGACACTTATGGGTTGAAAAAGTAGGAGCAAAACACATGTTAAAGTGAACGACAACTGAGGATACAAGCATTAGGACAGCAACCTATTAAGAAGAGAAATGTCAGTAGGAGGGGGGAGTGTAGACAACAGCCAAACCTAAAAGCAAGCTGACCTTACATAAAAAGTTAAATATGGTCACATCTCAAACATTAATGAGAAATCCATGCCCTGCCCTTGCGGCAGCAGGGCTGCCATACTTCTCCAAATACAACCAATACACTGCACTGCTAGAGTCGAAAAAGTCATTTTATTTGGTAGTTTCATTTAGTGCATTGCGAAACGAAATTCACCACCACCAAGACAACTCATTAATAAATTCCTCTCTCATTGCACCAATCAGATTTGGAGAAATTGAGATCCATTTTGTACGTTGCTAAGCAGCTTGATAGCATCAGCTACTGCTAAGCCACAACAGCTCCAAAACCACAAGGAAGCATGTTTATTTTAGTGTCAAGAGTAAACTAAATACTAGAAACGCTTCTCACAGCATCACTTGCTCTTAGCCAAAGTTTCAGAGAACAGAATTGTTCAGATACTGTTCCTGTTCTGATCTATCCCAAGAGACAAGTTAATCTTGCATTTCAAGACAAGTGAATGTTTTTAGATGAACATGCTCCATCATTTCTCCTTACTTGGTTGGAGAAACCACCTCAAAACAGAAGCGTCTTTCGATGTCTTCACAGTGTTTAACAGTGCAAAGCCTCAAGTCTTCAACAACTACTGTGGGATTATCCTGAGACAAAAATGAACAGAAATGTCACATGGAGAAAAGGTAATAAAGTTGCTAATAATCCCAAACTAGGTATCATTTAATTCTATTTGGTTCTTCTTCCTCCAAAAATAAAATTTTAAGTAGGTGGAATCAGGGATACTTAGCAGGAAATATTTAGATATATTATAAAGTTTAGTTATATTTAATTAATACTTAAGTATTTTAAGTGCCAAGTACAAAAACCAGAGGCTGGATACAGTGGTTTTGAAAACTTCATTCAATGAAAAAGAATTCTCTTCTAATCTAATGACATTTTAAAGGTTCATTTTTAAAAAACCATGAAGATATAATTGCAATTCACAAACACAAAATGCCCAACTCAGACCTGCTCACACAAACTCAACTGTGTTTCCCTTCCATTCACAAAAATGGGGGCCCTTGATAACAAGGAACAGCCTCTGGACCTGATCTGTTAACATCTAAGAGAAATGAACTGTAATAAGCTCTACCCACTTTTTTCCCCCCCTCTCTCCCTTCTCCATACAATTCTCTATATTTTCCCACCATGAACAGTCACAGCCATGTGGTGCAACAGCAGATTCTCAACAGTCAAAGGAGCAGGGGCCCAAATGTTGGTTGGAAATACAGACTTCTGCAGCATGGGGCAGAGCTGCACTTGCTGCTGTCACATACAACAACTGCACCTTCTCAGAGAGGAGACAGATATTGACTGCAAAAAACGTTTTCAGTATTAAACACATGTACATAGGACCCCTGGCTGCTTCATAACAAATGCTTTCATTCGTTTTCCTCTCACTCCCCAGCTGCTAAACTGGGGATGTGAACCCAGTCAGGAGCTGGAGGGAGCGAGTCCTGAAAGAGTTAAGCACAACTGCTGGCAGAACAGCAGGGAATATTTCTCTGCCAGCAAGCATGCACAAGCTTTTGGGACCAACAGCTTTCAAGGCCCTTCATAAACTTTCTCTGCAACGAGGTAACAAAACCCACAGCAAATAAAGTCCGTGCTTACAAGTCACTGCAGGAATCTCTAAATCCCTAAGTGCAGCTATCAGTCTCGTTTTACAAAGGTAGAAACCAATGTAGAAAATGCAGTAGGTTGTTGAAGACCACACAGGATGCCAGTGTCAGTGCTTTCTCCTTTGTCCGATCAATCCGGAAAACCGTCACCCACCCCCCAAACCATCCCAAGCCGCTTTTTGATGCCTACCTTAAATTTCTTCTGGTACACAAGTTGGTTATTTTGTATTGAGAACCAGCGCCTATTCAAACAAAGAGACATCCAGAGAATACATAACTGATTTTACAGTGCTTACTTGACCAAAATGTGCTAGCATGGAGTCTACAGAGAGACTGCATAAAAGAGGTCACAGAAATAATGCCGCAGTCAGTTTTGGCAAGTACTTTGTGAGGATGGTGAAAGAAGAGAAAGCAGAGACAAAACAGAAAAGGAAGCGAGGTTCCAATGAGTCCTAAACAAACACATTCATGTTATGACAACATTAGTTAAGCTACCACACAACACTTTCACTTCAAAGATCATTTGTATCTTAGCAGCAAGCTGAAATTTTAAGTAATTTTTTGGTAACACCAATTCATATATAGTTTGAACAATAAAAATACTTAAACTATGCAAGCTACTCACTCCTGAAGTATTTTTTGAGAGCACAACTAAGAAATAACTTACTAAGGCATTAAAAATACTACAGTGTTGCTATTCTATGTAGGTTTAATGTCTCTCTATATTGGGCATTTCTTAACATTTTAGATGCTAAAATAGACACAAAGCAAACCCAAGGAAAGCCTTTAAAGCAGTACTCTAACTTAACCCTCAGCTTTGTAGGAAAATATAAAATAAAAGACTTAATGAAGGCATCCTATGAAATCCAGAAGACAACATAACGCTTAAGAACTCCTCTGAACTGTATCCTTCCTTGTCAAACTCACTGTTCAGATCGGATACAATTCATAGAGAATGGGAAGATCATTCAGATTTTGGAAAAAATTAAAAGTGCCTCAGATCTCCAACTACTGTGTTTTATCAGACCAGTGAACAGTAAGGAAACAGCAAGAAAAACCATCCCTTTCTAGCTCTTCTGGGGAGGCACAAAATAAAAGCTAACCAATCATCACTGGGTTTGAAGTGACAAAAGTGAAGGGAGTATAAAATACAATTGAGTCCTCCATGGCAATGTACACTCTTTTGGTTGGTTCAGGCTTCCAGTGTGAAGCAGTGTTTATCGCGGCACAAACACCCCACTTACACCACGCATCGCTGTTTGCTGCGCTGCCAATCAGTTTGAATGGTAACAACATACAGAATACTCCACTGCAACACATCTTGTTGTTCTCCACAGGCTGCTGGACTTCAAACTACGATTTACTACGGTTAGTAAGAAGAGAGCTCCATAAAGTTATTTAACCACCACAAGCCATTCATGAAAAGAAGCACACAAAGCTTGGTAAGAAAAATTACAATATACCAAAGGAGTTAGATTCAAAGCAGAAGATCTAGTATTTGTTAGAGAAGTTAGTACTTAGTAGACAGATGAGATTCTACCTTTTAATGAATCTTTTCAAATGTTGTGCAGATATATTTAATTTAAAAAGCAACAACGGGATCTTCTTTCACTACTGGATTTCCCAAATCGTAACAGTCGTCTTTTTGGGGTAAGATAATTGAACAGAATAATGCAAAAAGTTAACTACTTTTTCAATTTATTAACAGCAGTAGCTTTGGTTGCTGCTCTTTAAAAGGTATCACCTTTATCTATTTAAAAAAAAACCAACAACCCAACACCACAGATGCAGTAACTAAGCCTGAAACGTGAGCAAAAAGCAAGTTACTGCTAATACTTAAAGAAGTAACTCAACAAAAAGGCAGACTAGAAAAGGAAAATAAACTCAGCCTTTTTTATGTGGCTGGCTTAATTGTGTTTTTTTTTTTAACAAACAGAAAATCACGTCAAACAGTGCCTAAGGGATACAGGAAAAAACCCGCAGCCTTGCCCCAAGATAACATGCAATGGAGCAACCCCATTCACTTCATTAATGCAACGCTTCATTTGGTCGACAGCTGAATGTACTGAAGTGAACCAGCTCCAATCTGATCAAGGGACATAAGCGAGCACACAAACTGTACAACAAATCTGTGCCACGTTTGAAGCATCGTCCAGAAGTTTTCAAAGTATTTCAGCCCATGTTTTAACAGGTAGAGAAATCAAATCTGCTTAAGAACATTATAATCCAGCCAAAAACCGGGGTTTGATTTGGGTTTTGGTTTTTTTAAAAGAAACTTTTACTGAGCAAGATCAACACTTTAGAATGTGGTATAACTTGAAGGTCACATTTTTGAAGCAGACATCTGCTCTCTAACAGTAACACCACAGCAATTTAATTCAGGCCAAGAACTTTATGAATTACTTCAAATTAATGAAGTATCATCAATAAACCCTACTCATTACTGTAGGAAACGGACTACTGGGGATCTACAGTAGCAGTCATGAAAATGGGGGTACAAAATACACACTGCAGGTGCTACTGCAGGATACAGCATAGCTGTCCTTTGCTGAGAATTCATGTTCACAAACCTTCAGGCAACTTGTGTGCAATAAGTACTGAGCGTTATCAAAGTTTCTTTCAAGATGTCGTTCTGTCAAACACAGGAGAGAAGCCTGGTGAAGGAGAACACATACTTGAGAAAAACCTTACAAGTAATTTGCACTGCTCCACTAGACAGTGCTTAAATAGAGCTGTCTGGGTTTAGAAATGAAATTACTTCCATCATTTATACCTACACTATTCAAAAAAGTATTGGTTAAAGAGGACACAATGCAAAATGAATTGAAAAAAACATGTCAGAATTCTGAGAGCTGAGAGAAGTACTAAAAAAAGGAGTTTTACATAAAAATGGAATCAGGGTTAACTGATTCTCAACACACAAGTTTTCTTCACTAGTGGCTATCAGCACACAAGTAACATCGAATGAATAAGAATGCACAACATTTAAAAGCTGTATCTCTATTTCCAGTGCAGCTGATGAGAAAAATCTCACCAACTTCAACTGGAAAAGGTCAAAACGCTGATCTCGTACGCTCAGAAGTTTGAGTGCAGAAACTTTGCTTTAGTTCCTTTTTAGCTAAAACAGGTTCAATCTTTCTCATTCTCGAATGTGTTGAGCAGCAGGTATACTGGCATCCCAGGCAGAATCCTTCTGTTATTTTCTTAGACTGAGCCACTTACACATCCATTGCAAGTAATCAAAATTAAATGCAGGGTTAATCAAGAGCTTTTTGCGTGCCAGAGAAACATTGGGAAGGTATAAAAGAAGCTGGTTGGTACCTGATGTGATCGGGCTTTTTCCTGTCATGTGAAAAAATGGGGTAGGATTAAAACATAAGGGAAAGGAGGAGAAGGAATGAAAAATGCAAAATGAGCAAAATAAGCAAAGTAGCAGCATGATCTGAAAATACAGCAGAATTAAAAAGGAAACCATTTAATGCATCCAATCTAACAACTATTCAGAACACACTAGTGTTTGATAAAGGTTTTTCTCCCTACACATTATTCACGCAACTCTTTCTTCATGACATGGACTTATTTTTTTATTTGAATTTCTAGGAACCAAACCAGCCTTCCACCTACTGCTCCACAATAATACGTACACTTGACTTCCTGATGCCTTACAGAAAAACTGTGTACAAGAAGATATATCAGTTACCAACAGACAGACATACATTGAAAAAAATAGGTTTCCATACCTGTTACTGTAAACCTTTCCAGTATAAAGAGATAATTTTGATTCCTCCAGAGTATATTATCCGAGATGCTTATGTACATTACACACTATCCATTTAGTCACAATAAAAAGAGACTGCAAAATCTCCAGCTCTTTCAAAACACAGCAACACTGAATTGGAAGTAGCTCTTGTGGTTTCTCAAGCCAGTGTCATGCAAAACTGTCCCAAGAACAGGAAACCTGATGCAAAAGCCCAAATAACTGAAGCCTTCATATGATTAAACCCAAGCTGCCAGCTGCCCCAGGAAAAAACAACATCATCCTAGTGAGAAATGAGCTTGGATCAGAAGCAAGGTTTCATTCATTAACAGATCTGTCCACTTTCGAAGGGCTGCATTACATGGCTTTGATTCTTGTTTTATCCATGATGTCCCTGGATTCAGTGACCAAGATGTGCACACAGAAGCATCACTATTATTTCATTCGTTAGCTATAATCACACTGATGTGTGTCAAACCCAGAGAAAATCCACTGTACCATTTCCTTCTCTCGTGCTGTTAATGCTGACAAGTACACACCATTACTGATAGCTGAAACGATTTCTGGTGCCTTTAATTCAGTTGTAAAGGTGTACTTGAAAAGGCCTAGAACCACCAGAATACCAACCGATACCAACAGAGGGAAAACAGAAGCTACCATCCTAGACACATACTAGAGTAACCAAGAGTGCAAGCAGCAGTTTGCAGGGAGCATCAGGGCTGCTGCCCTCGGTTCAGAACATCAGGAAATTCCAGTATTTCTATCCAGGCAAATTCTTCTCATTTTGTTTCCGCTGCTTGATTTTTCCACCCACCTCCCTCAAAGATGGGCACATAATGAGGCAGCAAACCTCCTATCTGATAAGAACGCTGAAAATATCTTGCCTGTCCTGGGGTCTCTGACTTCAGCTCCAAATTCCCTCACATAAAAGACATAATTCTCTCAATGTTTCCCTCTCTGCTGTTTCATTGTACATTTTTTTTTACACACAAAACAGCTTAATGCAGTGGTACAGTCCTTTCTTGTACTCTACCTAGCGACTGGAAAAAACATTCTCACCTCTAATATATCATAAACTTTCAGCAGTACTATGTCCCTGAAGCTGCAATACTACACAAGTGAAGCACTCCATCAGTGGAAACAGGTGGCAATGACCACTTCAGTCCTGACAACATAGTAAGCAACTACAAATGTATCAGAAATAAAAATAAGATAAAAATACTTCTCTATTTCTATAAAAATAGAGAAGTATTATAGAAACAGAGAATATGGAAAACATGAAAAATTGGGCTGTGTTCAAAAACTAATAGCTGTTTTCATTAAGAAGGTCTTGAATGTATATTTTATGCATGATAATATTGCCTACATCTGAAGCATTCAACTGGCCTATCAGAGAGAAATTACCCAGTATTTAAGATTAAAAAAGGTCAAAGGTTTAGCTTTACTGACTACTCCTGTGAGAAACAGAAGCAAAAGCCACATATAAATAAAAAATATAATTTTTAAATATATATATATCTCTCAAATATAAATTATACAGTAAAAGCAGGCAGCTCTGACTCATTACTGAGCTGTTTACCTTGGCTGTCTTAAATAACCTTGTTTGAATGTTTTTATTACATGTGTTCAAACCTATAACTTAACCTGAAAGAATGTCACTGTGTATGTGGACTTGGTTATGACTTCCTCGTATTTATTTTGTGTCCATTTAAATTTCCAGCATATAGAACCTAATTTTAACTGTATCCCACTCCTTGACCACCTTAAGGTAAGACACATGTACAGCATTAATAGGTATGAAGGCATGTGGAAGAATATTTCTCAGCTAGCTCCCACCACTCTGTCCTGCTCCCTTCTGTCACCTCCCCACACACCAAAGCCCTTACGCTGTCCAAAAGAAGAACCCAGAGAGGGAGCTGGAGCTTTGCCTTCAGTCACTTATCAAAAGGCTGCAGTTCACCCTGCAAAAACACCTTGAAAAAAGGACCCTTTCGGGCTGTTGAGAATCCAATACAGGACAATGCCCTGCCCTGCTACGGCAGCTTTTTCTCAGTGTGCTTACACTAAGATTTTACTTCAGACCAGGAATGTGCTTTTGAAGCGCATCTCCCAGTTTTCTCCCTTCACCTCTTTGATGCCTCACAGATTTGTCTTGGAGAACTCTCAACTGTGCTTGGGTGAAACCAGCCCAGAAGGTACATTACAATTAGACAGCTCCTCAGACCACAGGACCAGACTAGAAGTAGTCCAAAGCAAAATCTCTTCTACTGGCTGCACACGACTTGCTAATCCAGAGAGTCTTACTGACACCAGCGGCCCTTGCATCATTCTCCAGATGTATGCAAATCAATCCCAGTTTGTTATTGACTTGTGAGGTTCCAAGATGCCCAAAGAATTATAGAATAATTAAGGTTGGAAGTGACCAAACATCCAAATGCGCATTCTGGCCTTAGAAACACAGCAAATAGTTTAACAGAAGCACTGCTGCAAAAACTGCAGAGGGTAAGACGGTAAAAAAAGCTCTGTATCATTAACTTGCAAATATCACATAAAGCTCTAGATCACAATTAACTTTAAAATTCAAGAACCATATTCACTATACTGTAAATGCTCCAGCATATATAATGTTTCCTTGAAAAAAGCATAGACCCTTGGAAATGTAAGAGAAATCCTGTTCAGTGAGAAAAATATTTACACAACAGTAAAATATACCTTGTTAAAGAGACAGGCCTAACAATGTATGTTGAATTCCTAACAGGACTATCAAAACTGCTACGCAGAAATTGCTGCACAGAACAGAAATTGTAAAGGAGAACCATTACATGCTTATCTTTCAGGAAGAATAACTTGAGCCCTTGAGTCTTTGCGATGTTTCCCTGCTTCCAACAGCTTCGAAACTTCCATTTCACTTCATCCTCTAACACTTCTTTTCCCAGCATATACACTTCCATAGCTACTGAATCCACTCATAAGGACTGCTCTGTTTCAACCCCAGAAGGACTAAAACACAATTACAGAGACAGCCTGCAAGCAGACAGGGAAGCAAGCTGTCCATACCTAGGGCTTCTCTAGACTTAGACACATGCTTAGATAAAGGCTTGCAAACAACTAGGACAGAAAATAAGGAAAAATGACTTGGAAGTGTCATCTCTACGTTGATTAACAGAGTCGCTCAAGTGTTCTGTCAAAATTGCAGAATCAGTGAGTTGCATAGGCTATAAGTCAGACCAGAACTTAGCTTAACAAGCAGTATATTAAGAAGCCAGTAATTGGAGGTTCTGAATAATTACCTGTTCCAAGTCTTGAAGGCATTGCTGGCTCGCTTAAATAGATAACCTTCCATAACAATACCATTGGCTGCATCTACATTGTATTCTAGTTTAGTATCATCACTGGAATAATCCTAGTACAGAGGAACAAGAGAAGAGAAAGATATTGCAGTTTAAATGAAACTTCAAATACAGGCAGCATTAATGTAGAAAGAAAAATAAATTAGCAAGAATGTTTTGCTTGCAACACTTCGTAGTCACGCCAGGACTCTCAGCCCCTGAAACTCTTAAATACTTTTAGGAGGTCAGAATGCTGCAGATTTTTACTTCACCTGCACTCAAGGGGAACTTCTCGTTCAGGTACTGGTGACCTCTGTGGTCAAGTAGAGGGAAAACATTACTGACAGAGCATCTGATGCTTCAACTGTCTGCTCCACTGGTGTCATACGTATTCCAAAGACAGAGGAAAAGGGGCAGTGGGAGTCTGGACTCAACTGAAAAGCAGTTGCATCCTGGTGCAGACAAAACTGAGCAGAACCAGCTGTGCTTTAGCATTTTCTTCAGCTAAGAAAAGGCTGAAGATCCGGCTAAGGGAGCCGGATCAGAACTTCAAAGACAAGTAACCAGTGATGATGCTATCAGTTGTCACTAAATTAAAGCAGTCAGGGTGTTCGCAACGATAACAAGAACTTAGCAGTAATTTTTTTTTATTATCTTTGACAAGAATATGAAGCTAAAAATAGGAGAAGAAAATTTACATTTCAATCAATCTAATAACAAATAATAACAGGTAATAGCAGTTAATAATAGCTTTACAGATTTTAGAAAGGTTAACTGTTCACATCATCAGCAAAGGTAGGGTAGATTAAATGGTAATACAGGTGGAGATTATTTGCTTTCATATCTCATCTGAAACAGCTCAGACTATTGCCAGGTCGCTACAGAGCTCAGGTATTCAGTGAGTGGGAGGTTAAAAGCTACCAGGCCAGCACGGAGGAGCACACATGGACCACCACCATTTATCAGGAGCCACGTCCAGAGATCAACATTATACACATGCCATTGTTTAACGTCACTGTTACTAAAACATACCATTAAAATAGACCGACATGGCTTCTTCCCCTTAACTACGGCAGAAGAGACAAATCACTGGCAGTTAGGTATCTGAACAAAAACCAGGTGAAATACTGAAGATGCAGGACACTTCATAATGCCACTCTCCTAGGCCTTCAGCAGGTACTTTCTGCATATTGCAAACATCAGCTTCGTGTGAAAAGCACGTCTGGAAGTCTCTTTTGTACTTGCCTCCTTAGGAATTTGCCTACACGTAGGGGAAAGGGGCTATCCACAAAAACCCAACCTAGCTTCAGAAAAAGTACCATTAGCTCCCTGTAATATTCCAGCCTGCACACAACTACACACAGAGTTCACTCTTGTACACGCAGGTGGTTTGGTCCAACCCAAGGTTAATTAAACAAGAGAGTGAAGTGGTAACAAACACCGAAATGGGCCCTTTACATTCCCATGCCACCAAACCCCATAAAATTACTCAGTGTTTTCAGCTGTTACCAATCTGAATCAATTAAGTTTGCAATGTTACATCTACATTTTTGTTAATTCACTGGCAGAAGATCAGTGCAAAACTGAGAGCTCCAAAAGCAACTGGAACTGTCTTATCTCTAACATATATTGATCTAAATAAACATATAGGTTGCAAAGAAAAGCTCCTCAGAAGTAACAAGTGTGTCCATTATTCAGCATTTACTAACTTTGATTTTCTTTGATCAGAACAATGCTGAACATTACATACTCCATGTAAGCACAGACAAGTATCCTAGAACAATTTTAACAATATATCACAACTTCGGACATAACATTCTCAAAACGTTAAGTCCTTTGGTCTTCTTCTTATCCCCTCCAAAAAAACCCAAACCCAAACCCTATAAGCACAGACTTGGACGAGCTGATGTCACATTCCCTCCCTCCCCCCCAAATTGACAAATTACTCTAACTTACCAGCTCCCAAACATAATGAAACCTGCTAAAGACTTGCATCTTCCTGCCTCAGCGCTGCCTGCGGCTCCTTGTCTGGTGAAGGACACCTCACGTTCCCTCAGCCTTTTCTGTCCCAAGCACCACACAATCACACTTTCCTCCAGGTTTGGAGAACTGCTGCAGAAAACGCAACTGTCTGTGTCTTTTCCAATGACTCTAGATCTACGCTTTGAAGACATACAAAAGCATGACAGGAAAACTCCTTTGGATCATTCATGGTGCTACACTCAGTCCAAATTTTCTGAAATCCTGAGGCTTCCTCGTGGAGTGCGCTCAGTGTCATTTTTAATGACTTCTCTGGACTTCCACCTTTACAAGCAGATAAAGACACACGAGTATACAGACAAATGTTTAATCTTTTCCTAACTACACACAGCAGACTAGCAGCTGGGGCAGGGAGGCAGTAAAGCTTTTGTATGCGTTATCCATAAAATATAATTGATACAGTTGTGGCCAGGAAAAAGATGAACAAAAAACCCTGCTCTTCCTTTGAATTAAAAGGATAAAAGTAGAAAAAGGCACTAGATAAGCTGGGCCTGATCTTACAGTCTCTGCTATTTTATAATTAAAGAATAGGAGAAAAGCAGTCACATTATAGTTTATTTTTATCTTGGTACATGGAAGAGTTTAGTGAATCATGAAAAATAATCAGGGGGTGGAGAGAAAGACATCAGCATCTTTCCAGTGCCCTGCACAGGAGAATCACATGTTAACAAATGCAGTCACTTTCTGTGATTCAGAATTTCGTATTCCTTAAGCAAACATGCAGCTAATAAAGACTGAATTTTAAACAGTTTGTTTACTAACTAGGTGTCAGGTAAGACTAAAGTACATTTCACCTAGTCAGAATTAAGAAAGTTAATCTAGGGTTATGAAAGTCACTCTAGGGTGCTACATGGCACATTTCATTCAGATGTGAAGGAAGGAACATCTGTGGTTTCTGCTCTGATACTCGTTTGTCAAGGCTGGCCAGCTACTAGAGGAGAAACACAGAGGTGGGTTGTGTAAGTGAAGTGGACAGCGTGCTTTCATGCCTTTTATGTTCTCTGTTTTCTTTAGATGTCCATGAGGGATAGCAGACAAGCTGGCAATGGAGAAACAACTTTCATTTCCATCGTTAACAGTCATCTGCTGGGTCACAGAATACTTCTTATTCCTGACAGTGTTTCAGTGAACACATCTTCATACAAACTTATCAATTTATCACACATACTGTATTCACGTCAGGGCTGGCATGTTTTCTGGTTCTCTATGTATGATTTTCTTATTGTCAAAACATAAACCCCCTTAAAACTTTTCAGCAGCAGAGTTTTTGATTTACTCTCAATATGACGATTGCTAACAGGCCACGAAAGCTACTCCAGCCATTTTACCAGTAAGTCTTAGGGAATGCTAATATCAGCATTTTAACACTGACTATATTCAATGTGGTATTTTACTTTACAGAAGCAGAATGTTAACAGTTTTTTTTTAAAGGCAGTAAAGAGAGGGGCATAAGTACCAAAGAAAATGCTAATCTGAAAAGTTATTCCAGCATATGCAAAAAGAGGAGACTGAGGGGTGCCCTCATTCATGTTTATAAATTTGTAAAGGGCGAATGGCAGGAGGAAGGAGCCAGGCTCTGCTCTGGGATGTCCAATGCCAGGACAAGGGGCAATGGTCCCAAGCTGGAGCACAGGAGGTTCAAGCTGAACATGAGGAAAAGCCTCTTTACTGTGAGGGTTATGGAGCATGGCCCAGGCTGCCCAGAGAGGTTGTGGAGTCTCCTTCTCTGGACACATTCAAGGCCAACCTGGCCGTGTTCCTGTGTGACTGCTCTGGTGATCCTGCTCTGGCAGGGGTTGCACTGGGGGAGCTTTCGAGGTCCTTTCCAACTCCTGATATTCTGTGATTCTGTGAACGGTGCAAACCCCCAGTTAGAAAGTTGCTTCCATTCCCAGCCTATCAGCAAAAGAGATGTTTGTCATGCTGAAGTTGAAAGCCCCTTGAAGGACGGGTTAAAGCAACAAACACAGAAGGAACAATGGTTTACAGTCCAAGACCAAGTGAAAGAAGGTGAGACAGTCACTGAACACACAAGTCACTTGAAATACTGGCACATCTTTGGGTTTTGAGACAGGAATTAGTCTGCATTACTTCTCCAGAGCAGCTCTGGTTTATGCCTGCTTTATGACTGCGGCAGCATCTGGTTTCCTATCACCTTGTTTACTCAAGATGTTAAAAATCTTCCAATCAATCTCACTCCAGCAGTTTCCTGAGCAGCTCTTCAGATGGGTTTTGTGGTTTGTTTTTTTTAATGAAAAAGGGATTTGAATACAACAAAAACTCTCTGAAGTTCAATGCAAATGTTTTTCCTGTATCATTTCCCTCATTTCAGAACAAAATACTAGCTGTCACAAAACTAAAAAGCCATAATGCCATTTACAGATCCAAACGATTTAAAAATCATTTAATTCAACATCTTACTACAGTAATGGGCTGCAAACTGCTGAGAAAACAAGAGTTATAAGTCTTAAGTGACACTGACACTGTGACAACAATCTTTTGATATAAATCTTACCCTATAAAAATATATAGGGGAAAAAAAGTTCCCAGGATGGTCACGACATTTCTATGTTAATTCATAATATGGGTTGCTCCAGATTCATACAGGAAATGTGGTTCCTTACATTTAAAAAAATATATTCACTGAGTAAAAAGAACACAAAAGTTAAAAGAAATAAACAAAAAAATCAGACATCAGTTCTCTTAAAACACAAATCAAACTACAGAGGTTACCAAGACCTTCCATGACTTTTATATTAGCCTCTCAGACAACAGCCTAATTAAAGAAGATGGTGATTATAAAGAAAAAGTGAGATGAGCTGTTTAATTAGTGCAATTATTCTGCATGCATATGCACATATATGCAAACACAGGTAGTGGGTGGGTAGGTGTGTGCACATGTGCACTTACCTATACATTTCAGAAAAGGAACTGTTCTTTATCCACACAATGAAGAAAAGGCATCATTCTGAAGCATTAGATTAAAACTTCAGTATATTAAATGCATATATACCTCATGGAATACTCAACACAAGAAGAAGAAGTTCAGTAGTTATAAAACATGGCAGGATTTGGTGCTGGAAGATTTGGGAACGTATGCCTAAGGGGCAGCCCAGTGGAAAGCAACATGACAAGCCATGAGAAAAGAACAAGTTTGCCATCCTTGTCAGGTTGACCAGATGACAAACAATGATCTAAAGAACAGGATCCAAGGTCTAAGGCAGTTCAAGGTTCTGAAGTTCTGATGAGCTGGAAGCAAACTTGGTGGGAAGGTTGGGACAAGCAAGTAGGAAGAGGCAAAAACCAAACAGACAACACGATTTGAGTAAGAAACCAAGAGAATTATTTGACAAGCTATAAGCAGAATTTCCAATAAAACATGCCCTTCAAAGCTTAGATGCATTATCATCACAAAAATGCATCAATTGCTTCACTGATAAGGACAGGAGACAATACACACAGCTTGAAACACAGAACTTCAGAGGACAACACACAACGCAATCTGGCTGCCCTAATTATATTCTAGAGACAGCGTAGAATTGTCATTCAATTAAAATGAGGAGTAATATATAACAAACCTCATTATGACTGCCATTTGTACTAGAAACCAAGAATTTTTACATTACAGATATAGCTTATCAAGTTTCATGAAGCTTAAGTTTCAATCACTATTGATACTATTAGGAATAGTTTACCTGTAAAGCAGCCTTGAGCAGCATTTAAAGAAAAAACAAAGATTGTAAACACCGTTGGCAACAGCAAGGACCATAATTCACAGTAACAAGTTATTGCTTCTATGGCACATTAAAGGATAACTGCCCATTACTCACATCCTTCACCAAGCACTGCTGGAAAATGCCCAACTCCTGCCCACTCCTGAAACCAGGCCTGTTGAGCCCAGACAAATTCAAATTTGGACATGAACGTTAATTCTCAAGTTCCATCTCTTTCCCATTTCCCCTTTCTTCCCCTTGCTTGCCTCCAAACACAGCACATCACCACTGCCCTAAAACCCATCGTCGTGTCTGCTCAATCTCTCAGTTACAACAATCTCAACGCTTCCCACCAGCGCCTGCAGGGATGAGGGGGTGCAGTGACAAAAACACATCCAGCAGCCAAAAATATTACCTTTTCCCATTAGTATTAGTACTGACTCCTATAAGACTACTGAAATTATAACCTTAGCACGTTTTCATTCCTGAATTTTACTAATCAGGTCTCATTTACATTAGGCTTTTTTAAATTTATGCCACCTGAACAGATACAGAATGTATTTGAATGACAGTAAGAAGCGTTGCGTTACCTTTAAACTGGTATCTAATCCCTTTCAAAAGTACCTGCAGTATTAGCTCACTACTGGAGAGTTCAGCGGAAATATTTTTAACTTCTAGCATTATACCTGCAAAACCAATACTGATCTAGAGCTTCTGAAACAGCCAAACAACAGAAGTCATTTCCCACCCCCCCTAAACATGAATTATCTACATTTTTCTCAACAAGCAAAAAAGAATTATTGCACATACAAATCTTCCAAAAGCATCAATTTCATGTTATCCCTTTCATATTTGTGTACAGTTGAACACCCTACATCAGACAGCCTTTAAAAAAAGCTCGCTTTTGCTCTTCAAACGCAACAACTGCTGCCACACTCAACCTCGAAGCGCTGCCCGCATATTTGGCACAGTGAAGAAAGCAAGCAATACACATGACTGTGCAGCACATACACCTCTTCTACAGACACAGGAAGGAAAAACAGCAACTTTTACAGTTATATTGAATCCAAGGTGCATCTGGAATTAAGAGTTCTAATGAAATGTTAGCCCCAGATTCAAGTCAGTTCTACTGCTTACTTACGTATCAGTCAAAACTAAACATAACACTCTGTTCTCAAGGTGCAACTGGAATTAAGAGTTCTAATGAAATGTTAGAGCCCCAGATTCAAGTCAGTTCTACTGCTTACTTACGTATCAGTCAAAACTAAACATAACACTCTGTTCTGTAACACAAACTTGGTATCTGCAGTCTAACCCTGCGCTTAAAGGTGTGCAAGTCCAGTGCTCTGCACTAAAGACACCATCCCTCACAGTTGCAGTGCAGAGATGCCCTGCTGGGGCGAGATGCCAGAGACAAAAACGTGTGTGCAGTCTGCCCTTTACATTCTCTCAAGTACCTTTTGTTGAATAGTGGAGTGCTTTTGCTCCATATCTCTCTTCTCCTTTGCAGCATCTATAGCCAACTGATCCAGCTGTAAAGAGAAACAGAAAATTGCATCTTTAGATTTCAAGAGGTATTTGGATCAGTAGATTTCATAATGCTGACCAAAAAAAAAACACACACAAAAAAGCACATTATGTCTAGACATTGCATGACTTTTGTTTTATTAGCATAGTATAATTACTTCTCTGGTCACAAAGTGTTTACCTTGAATAACCACTGAAGCCTCATTTAAAGCACTGCACTACCATCCTGAATTAACCTCTACAAAAGGTGTACATTTCCTGCGAGCCTTAGAAGAAACGTTTCAAAGAACAGCATGGTGCCAAGCATATGCGACTCTATACCGCATTGGTGCTCAGTCTGCGAGCAGAATGACTCATGCTGAAGCTGCTCTTGCTGGCTGACTGGCCTATGCAGCAGCACTGGCATTAGCAGCAGTAACTAGAAAGAGCTGCTGATTTTTTTCCCCCTCCACAAAGCAGGGAACCAGGCTTTTGTATTGAAATTTTTGATCAGGTCACCGGCAGTATTTGAGCAAGGTTCCTTGAAATATTAGGCAAAACCACTCAAACTGTTTCTAGTTTCAGAAATAACAATATGATTTTGGCAAAGAAGTGACTGTCACAACAGAGGATTGAAGTTAGCATCCTTACAAAGTCTGTGATAGTAAAAAAACCCAAAAACCAAAACACCAAGAAACCCCTGCTAGCAAAAACTTGCTGCAAGCATGTCTAGAGCACTACCACAACCTTTTTCCTTTTAAAACCAGAAGGGAAGAAAAAGGCAGGAAATTTAAGATATCCTGCAAGAGAATAAGGCGTTTTTGTACAGACTTTGATGTTTAAATAAGAAATACGATGAAGTAGAGGAGCAGATGCTGCCTGAAAGACCAGTTAAGCTTAGCAGTTACGTGATGCACTATGGAGTCTGATGAACTCCTCCTTTATCCAGCCTGGAACACAGCACTGCCACTAACCCCAGCCACAGCACCCCACTGAACAGCGATGCAGATGCAGTGCTCAGTGGTACAGCCTGCCTGTGGGACAGGTCTCGGGCTACTCCAGGCCTAGGAGGAGGAGACCAGGAGCAGCGTGTGATGGTTTTCTGGCTGAAGTCAGTCATGTGGCAGAGGGCTCAGCACAACTAACAACCTCCAATTCACACACTAAGAGGATCGCCTCCACCCACTCTCAGAACCACAAGTGAGAACCCCTGCCAATCGCGGTCATTTTCCCCAGTGTTGTATTTCCCCTGCTTGAAATGATGCAAATGAGAGAAAAAAGGGACAATAACTGGCTCTTACATCCTTGTGCTAGAGACGGTCTCCAACAGTTAAGGAGCCATCAGATAGCTGGGACATCTGGATCCAATGTTATGCTCTGTTACTCTTCTTAACTCTTCACTCCCTGGCTGCTTCTCTGGCTCAAATGGCCACACCATCACAGGTATTTGTGAACATGGACATGCTAAAGACTGACGTGTTCAGACATCACAATTATGTAGCTGTAAGACTTAAAACTTACGTAAGAGCCTCTAAGACAGAGGCTGGGCTGTTGTGCTCAATGACTGTTTTGCACCAAGAGCCCTGGAAACCCCATTGCTTTGTGACAAACACAAGAACTGCTCCAAGGGCTGTTCAAGACTTCATAGGAACCAAGTTTCTTGCTAAAACCTCAGATTCGGGAACCTGCACATGGTCCCCATGAAGTTCTTCCTCCTACCCTGCTAGATGAAACAGAAAGTAGCCATGTCCAGATTTAGGGCAATTAGCTCTAATTTACCTTAAATACAAGTGTTTGAGAATACATTTACCACAGCATAAGTGCCAAAACAGTTCTTAACAGCAGCTCACTTCATCATTTACTTTTCACCACCAAGACAGCATTGGAGTTTCCAAGCTCTGATCAGAATTTCTTCTTTTCACTCAAGTGAGCAACACACCGACTGTCTTAAACACAAAAAGACCAACAGCGTATGACTATCAAGAGCTGCGGCCAAATCACACAACTCACCTATAAAAATCCCAGTCCCTGTACCACTACTGAGTAGTCATCGAGAAAATAGGTTTTCCAAAACACTGCATTTACTGCTAAATGTATTTTATAAACATTTAGTACCATAAGCAGCATTCTGTAGAGAACCAAGTCAGACTCAAAAGTTCAGCTTTTTGAATAATCATCTCAGAATGAAAATTCAAGTAGGTTTTCTTTTTAAGCTAATACCGCATTTCACGTGAAAATTGCCAAATGCCATAATTTCCATGCAAAAGCTTGTATTACACTTCTGTGCCATGCAAGATTCCCCACAATGATCTGATTCACAAGTAATCCCACCCTGACCTAAAATATCCACAGCACAAAACTGCTTAATCCTGCTCTGTCATGTAAACCCGTTACTTTGAAAACGCGAACCAGAAGAATTAAAAATTAAAGCTATACCATCTAAGATAACTTCAAATTTAATACTTCAGGCGCTGCTAAACCTTGTAATTAAGATCATACACAAAATTTACCTGGGAATTAAAACTCACCATCAGAAACAATCTGCCAGTATTTGGAGGAAACTGCAGCAAAGCTGTTTTGTTAAGTCACAACACACCTCCTCTGACCTGCAAGGCCATTACCTGTTAAACTTTCTTTCACAAGCTGTTTACAAGTCTGCTTCTGTAGTGAAAATATCCATTACTCAAATGCCAAGGTCTGCCACAAAGGAATAATTCTGCAAGTTGTACAACTTTAGGGTCTTCAGTCCATCGTTGCTCCAACTGCTACGTATTTTAAACATTCTCAGCTTTGGATTTTATAAATTTAACTCCTTCAGTTGCTATGCTACCAGCACCAAAATAAGTGTTACACAATGCTCCAGACCAGGCAGAAGGACAAGTAGCCATTCAAAAATAACCTTATTCACAGAATCACAGAATCTCTCGGTCGGAAAAGACCTCCGAGATCATCACGTCCAACCGTTCCTGTCTACCCCCTAAACCATATCCTTAAGTACCTCATCTACCCGCTCTTTAAATACATCCAGGGATGGTGACTCCACCACCTCCCTGGGCAGCCTGTTCCAGCTTCTGACGACCCTCTCAGTAAAGAACTTCCTCCTTATCTCTGACCTGAACCTCCCTTGGCACAGCTTGGTGCCGTTTCCCCTTGTTCTATCCCCCATCACCTGGGAGAAGAGACCAGCACCCACCTCTCCACAACCTCCCTTGAGGCAGTTGTAGGTGGTGATGAGGTCTCCCCTCAGCCTTCTCTTCTCCAGGCTAAACAAGCCCAGTTCCCTCAGCCGCTCCTCATAAGGCTTGTTCTCCAGACCCCTCACCATCCTTGCTCAAATGTTCCTTGCTCAAATAGTCCCAATGAAATGGAAATATCAAAGCCTGATTGGTAGCATAAACCCCTACCAACGCCATAGTTTCTCTATTCTTTCCCCATCCTCTCTACTGCAGAGGTACAGAACACACATTCTGGACTATCAGAACACCACAGGCCAACAATTGTAGCTCAACATTGAAGGATGCAAAAGAATAAAAGGCACAACGAAGGACAGAGCCATGTGCACCTAAGCCTTTCAAGTGCCACTGCTACAGCCAACACGGAGCCCACAGAGCTGTACAGCCCCTTGCCCTTCCTGACAGCAGCGCCAGCTCCAGCAGCCACACACACGCACACACCTCCCTGACCCGAGTTTGTACAAGTAATTAAAACCAACAGTAATGTGGCTGGGGACTAGGCTAGCAGAAAAATAACTGTTTAGACATTTGACTGTTGGAGTTGTTTTATACAGTTACCGATCTGCTTCACTGCACAGACACAGAAGCGTATTGAGGGGCACAGATGACAACAGGGCTCTGGCAGGAATAACCAGCTCAGAACAATGTCATTTCAACGACTTATCTACTTGAGATGAAAGCAAATAAATGTTTGCCATCATTTATTTGCTTCTGTATTTGGATAGACACCTAGAATTCGGGTTGACCTGGTTTTGTGGATCAGGTAGGGAAGTGGCAACAGAGTTTTGCATCAGTGCAGTCGCAAGCCCTTGGATAGAGGGGGCAGGGGGGGAAAAAGCATTGTACGATGATTTCCAAGCCCATTCAACTTGCACCAAACACAAGTCATGACACTGCTGAGTCTTCTTCCTGCACCACAGACAGTTGAACGCTGTATGTACTTAGTCTGTTTTGCATAACCATTCTCCACGTGGCCCATTTAACCTTCTCATGGGTCCCTCACTGAAACCCCAGGAGTTGCAATTCTGCATTCTTAAACAGCAGAGTTGGGCAAGTGGGATTCAATGTCTGAACTCAGTTTTGCACTACTTACTGAAATCAGACTTCTGGTTTATGTTCTAAGTTGTTAAAACAAACTATTTTTGTCACACTGCACCATTTCTACAGTAAATAATGTACACAAATAGAAGGAAAAAAACTAATCTTACTTTTTAATTTTAAATGCATTTATAACATAGGTCACATACAAAATTTTTAAAAACTAAAATCCAGTGTCCTGAATACTACAGAGTACCTCAAACGGCACTACAGAGCTATGTTTCAAGCATGTAAATCCTAACAGTAGTACTAACTTTAGTAAACAGACAACTTTTAGTTTCTGTTTTCATTCAAAGTACTTCAAGGGTATTTTCATGCTTTGCCTTTATCACACTCCAGTTCCCTTTTTGTTGAATAAATCCATAGTGTACCTGATACGTACACACATACCAAGTTTTAATCCATTCCAGTATAGAGTTATGAATTTTTAAAGTAATTTTTACCTGTGCACCAAGATCTTTCATGTAGGGCCCAAGTTCGCTAAAAAGATCATAGCCTTGATGGAAAAAAGCCAGATGGGCATACATAAAAGATAACATCTAGAAAGGAAAAAAAGTCTTTTTAAAAAAGGATAAATATCAGATATCATGTACATATATACCTGAAGTAATCCACATGAACAAGCTTAAAATAAAACAAACCCATGCCGGCTCTCTTGTGTCCTGGCAGTTTGAAATCAATTTCTCATACAGCTTCCAATGTTGTAAATAAATATGCATGGTAAAACTAGCAAAGAATCAAGCCCAAAACCTCAGAAATCAGTTAATATGATTAAACCCATTAACAACAAAAAAATCTACTTCAAGGCAGAAAATTATTTCTAATTCATGTCACCTGAAGCTTTTATCTCCTGCTTAATTAGAGCATTAGAGAGGAGCTACATAATGTATTTACTGACGATCCAAAACCAGAGCCTTTATGAACACAGCTGAGAAGACTGTCCAGTCTTAACAGATAACTTGGAAAGACTGAAAGCAGAATGGCAAGCAGCTATAAAGCTGTGATCCAACTGAAGTTTTTTTCTATTTAAAGGAATTAAGGAAATTATGGGCGTAAAACTGTAGACCTTTGGAAAAAAGGTACCATTTGGCAGTATCTACCCTACACCTCAGTAAACTTTTTCAGAGGTAGTATGAAACAGAAAAGGGAATACAATCAGAAGAAAAACTAGCATGCAGAAGTAGCTGTGTATTAGTTTAGCAGGTACCATACTAAAGCACACTGTGTATTTGCTATTACAATGTGCTAATTATATTAAAAAACACCATTTCTGTAGAAAGAGCTGAATCCATCGTAGCACAGATTATAAGAAGTACTTACTGTTTATAAACTAATACAGCAGAATTCCTGGCAAAGTTCAATTTTAACCATGAAAGACAGACCAAAGGGTCAACAGCACTGAAAACCTTAATATGCTCAAATCTGAATCAGAAGGAGTGGCTAAAAATGTGAAGCATCTCTGCCCAGTTAAAGGCCAAGCTGACTGTCACCAAAGTGCCAAATGTACTGGTAATGTTTTAAAGGGTAAAAGAACTAAATGTTTAATATACTGCTTTGCAGTCATATTTTAATTTCAGATGTATTTAAATTTTTTCCTATATAGAAAATAAAGTGTACCTTACCGATTTTAAGATTTCTGCTCTTCTTTTAGACTGAAGAACGTTGATCTAGGAAAAGAAAACAACAACAAACAAGTGAGCAACATATTTTATTCTACTTTCAAACTTTCCCCAAATAAGTAAACTTCAAGTTACTTCCAAATAACGACATCAAAGCTCGAAACGCTGGAAGAAAGTAACTCGATCTCAGACATCACAAAGCACTTTTGAGAAGAAGATTCGTGCTAGTTTTGTAATGACATTAAAGTGGTGCAATCAGAAAAAGCTTGCAACGCTAAAATTTCACAGTGATGGTCTCAACTTCCTTCTATTGGAAGAGAAAAATGTAAGGCATCATGTACTAGCTAGAAGTAATATAATACATCTTTCAAGCAAGGAAAATTGGTACCCATTTCCAAAAGATTGAACTCAACGTGCTTCAACGACCCGTTCTGATGGCAGGAGCAAACCCACCCCACCTTCAAGAAGCTGCACTCAGCACCGCTGTTGTCTCCTGCCAGGGCACAGGGAAGGACAGGGCCGTGCTTATTTTTCCCCTCAGGCTGACTTTGTCTGAAGTATCCCAGATCTGGGATATAACTCCAGCCTTTGAATTGAGCAAGATCATAATAGCTTCAATAAGTATCATCTTGTATACACTTGCACTTTGAAGCTAGCTGAAGTCACAAACCAGTGGTGTTTCCCTAGCACTTGAAGAATATCACATCATATAGAAAAAATAACTGATTTTTCACATTCACCTGGTTCCTTCACCCTTTGTCCCCTAATCTTGTTGCTATTCAGAACTACAGATTTGACTTTAAAAGCCCCATTTCGCAGAAGCATGCATGATTTTGTAATTTAACACCGCTGTCAGTTTAAATTTCCAGCAAAAGAAATAAACTTACCAGAGCTGTAATCAAACCCAGACTGTACTTCTATGCTTAAATAGTCAGTATTTTGGAAAACCTTCTGCAGCAAAAATAATTACCATTTGTTTGTACTGAACAAACCCTCAACTTGCAAGGCACAAAAAAACCCCAAAAGCTTTGGAAATACACTTTAAAGCTCATATAGCTACAAAGAGACCACAGTTGTGAAGCTGCTTTTCCAGAAAAGAGTCATCCAAGTAGAAACAATTTGTAAAGCTGAATTCATTTTTGCCTGCATTAATTAAGAGACGCCGAAACTTTTCCCTGTTACTTAAAACGCATCTTTATCACACAAACTGCTCGTATTTGAGCACACGAATTCCAAGAAGCAAATGACCTGCAGTTTGATACACACACAAGGCACTGGCCTACAGCACTGACTGCCACTACTATTTGATGGTAGTACAAATAATCAAGTGCCACGTATTTCACAGGACTTTTTAAACATCAAAATTAACTTTGTCCTTAGTGTTTAAAAGGCAGGAGTTCAGTGGTGACCATTGACCACCATATCTGTGCACACACCTGTGCTGGTCAGATCGATTCCCCTTCACTTCACAGATAAGGTAAGTGAGTGTTATATGACAGTTAAGTAAGTTTAAATAACTGACTACACTGTCACAAGTCAAGATGATAACAACCCGGTGCAGCGCTACAGGCTCGGAG